GATTTTTTTCTGAAGAATTCTTCCTGAAAGTAAGTTCAAGCTTTTTGATAAGTTCTCTGAAGGTGAGTTCAAAAAGGAAATTCGCGCTACAAACGGAGTTTTCAAGCTTTTTCGCTCTCCTACCTCTGCTGTAGCTTCCTCATACAATGACATATTTTTTCTTATTTCCTACAACCGTTGTTCTTCTCAGAAACTGCTCACCTACATTCACACGCTTCCCACAAATGGTATTAGTTGGATTCGCCGAGGCAGTAGCCGATACATCCTCATTTGAAGCCTGCTTTGAGCTCTGCCTTGATAGCTTCAGCACATTTGGCTTCAATTGCACCAGCGGCATGTATTTCTTTGAGGTAGGTAGAATATTTTACTTTTACATAACATTGAAGACAAACTGTACGCTCATTCTCAGGGACGATTCTTGCCATGTGCAAGATGAATGGGTCTGCGGCTGCCGTAAGTGTCATTTTATCCCTTCATAAATGCACTGGAAAGGAGCTGGATGGGTGCCATTTGGGACTCCGCCCGCGTCGTTCTCGGCTGCAGCACTTGCGTTGATACCAAAGTCCTGTAGCGAACACGCAGTCAGAGTTAGAGAACAACTAGAAAAGAGAGGGCGCAGACAGAAAGTGCGTTGGGCCATGGTTAGTGGCTGGCCGTGTGGAAGCGCAGGCAGAGTATGGAGACGGGACCCGGGCATCAGTACTTTCCAGCCCAATTTCCAAACACCTTTGACCAGAGCAAGTTGCACGCTACTGCAGCGCGGTCCAGTTCACCAAGCACATGGGAACGCCCGTCTGAGGGTGTAGTGCACCCTCAGACGGGGCGTTCCCATGTGCTTAGCTAGCTGCCTGAACATAGTGCAGTACCTTAGTCCACTACGTCGTGGTGCGAATACCGCGCACGTGACGCCGCTTGCAATGCTGCCTTCGCCGCATTGCCATAATGACGACATCTGACACACACCCCTTCGGACTACCTCGCCAATTTCTTCGCTCCAACATATTTTAGGAAGCTCAGCTAAAACTGTATTCTGAATTCGGAGAGTCGTCAAGCTCAAAAAGACCTTTTTGCCGAGGAGAACACCGACATTGTGGATTACTTCGAAATCGGGTGCGAGAAACCGCAGAGACGTCGCATTCATGCAGCCAGAACCCATAGTAAGCATCTTTTGTTACTTCTCAGTATATGTATGTCCGGGTTTCTCAGCAGTAACTATAGTTAGTTATAATGGTACGTATTTCCTTTCAGCCTTACCTGAAAAGCTGGTGATTGCGGCAGAAACGCAGACGGAATGGTCAGAGTGTGAAGACGGCTTACAACATCGACGACGGGACTGCAATAATCGCGAGAACTGTGGGCTAGAGAGCCGTCCTTGTGAAGGAGAGATCAAATCCAGCTCAGTTCTCCAAGATTCACCAGGTGAGATCTCGTACGCAAAATGGGACGCGATGCGGTTGAGCGTTGCGTCACCACCACATGTTCAATCAATAACCATTGAAGAGTCACAAAAAGCCGTCGTTCCGTGAGAACCCATCACCACTGCACTTCAAGAAATGGAGTTGAAAAAGAAATCCTTTATCATTCAGAGGAACTACCAACCCACGAAGATATTGCAAAAGTCAAGGCAGAAGTTCGAAAACATGGACTGCGCTGTGCACCAGACATATGTTGCGACGTATTCAACAAATGTTCTGTTGGTCTCCGGCTCAACTCGAAAATGAAACGACTTGAATGGTGTAAACGACCGTGTGCTGACAAAGGGCGTAAACGAACCTGACCTCATCCCTAAAGCAGCGTTCAGACTTCGCGACAGCAGCGCTTCGGTCGCGCGTTCGACGCGATCGATGCAGTCGAAAGCATGCGCATCGATCGCGTCGAACGCGCGACCGAAGCGCTGCCGTCGCGAAGTCTGAACGCTGCCTAAGGCCAGGTTCACATTCTATGTCACTGTCACTGGAGAACCAGAAAATCCGCGAAAATAATAAAAGAATTTTCGGTCTGTGAAAACGGGATTAACCGATTCCTGCTAATCCTTTTCGAAAGGTCCCCTGATTCTCCCACACTATGCTTCCCTTTTAGCCTTCAGACTTCGCGACAACGCGTTGTGGCGCGCAGCCGTTACAACAGCGCTCCAATGCCATAGGCGGGAACGCAGCCCTAGAGAGGTATCGATCGGCGTCGGCCACTACTGCTCCAAGAGTGTTTGGCAGAACAAAAAGCCGTGCACTGCCCATGTACAATTTGGTACCTTCCTGTTCTCCTGTACACTCGAAGCATTAGTGACCGGCACCGATCGATAACCCCTTTATGGCTGCGTCTCGTCTACAGCACTGAGGCGGCGTTGTAATGATAGCGCGTCAACGCGCGTCGTCGCCAAGTGTGAACACTTCCGTCGCTCGTTCTCTGATTCTCTAGTAGCACAAAATATGAATACAGCTTAATGACCGACTGTAATTAGTAATGAGAATATCTGTCACGAGGCCTATCCTTTGCTTTGTTTAGAAAATGTTTGTTTGAATGTTACTGGAATGACTCGATGCTAACGCAGTTCGGAGGGGCCACATAGTGGTGAGCCTACGTCCCTTCATTCAAGGCCCAGTCTTAGCAGAGCGCAGACGACCAGAGTTAGCGTGGCTTAGTCTCACAGAGCATAGTCATGGTTTTATATGCCCCTCCAAACTGGTTTAGCGCCATGACTGATTATTGATCTATTTGTTCTATATAGTTTTAGCTTTAATTGTAGTTTTGCTACTAGAAACATCTTTTCAATGGATGCACACGCCCACGCGTGGGCACTGCGTCGCGGTCGCGTACCGTCACAACGGTTGTCTTACGAAACGCTGCGCTTAAGTTCCACTTAATGCGGTCACGAGAAGTTTACTCTGGAATAACATCTATCCATCCAGCCAACATGCAGTTATTTATTGATCTTGTGTCAGACTATCGATATTTTTAGCTCCAGGTGGTTCTGTAGCTTTAACGTGCTTTCAATATATTCAATTTTTCATTGTTTGTTTTTCAGTCGTATTTTACGCAATATAAAGATAAAGTTATCTTTTTATCTGTTTACAGATGTTAAGCTATTCCTGGTAAAACAATCAACAGAGCAACATAGAATCCATTAACAACATAACAATCACAGTAACAGAAGCACAAACATTCTTCAGAGAACTGTTTTTGAGGCTTTGCTATATAGATTCACTTAGCTCCCTGGAAAATATGGAAAGGGCAAAAAACCGCCTCGCAACTGCACGCGTCCCTGACCGACTATCTCCACCGTGATAGTCGTTTTTGGGGTATGTGTCGTATATCATAACAACAAAATCAACAAGATACTATAGAGAAACTTCTTGCAACATACTATCCGCCTTAGCTAAGCAATCGTTAACGCTTTCCCACTTTTCATTCATATTCTCCTTGTTTTGGCTACCGTACTCCCTCCTCGCTATTGTAATCAGCGGCTTCAACGACATCCGAACGCGAGATTTTGCCTGAACCATACGGATAATCCGAAGAATATGGCGATTATGAGCCTGACAGTGGACGACCTGTTTCAAGGCTTCTTCTCCTTTGAGGGCTGCAAATCGTAGACGTTCCGAAGCTAGCTCCACTGCCGATCTCAGCACCGAACAACACGATTCAACGTCTTTGCTCCAGTTCTAGAAAAAGTCATAGAATTGAAAAACAAGTGAAAAAACAAAGTAGTGAAATCATAAAATATATTTCACTGATAAATCCCTTCCGGGATGCGCCACGCATTCTGCTTCTATGTGGAATTGGAGTACAGCCGAAAGCGACCAAGCACATACGACACATTGGGTTATCGACATTCAGTTCGGTCTCTTTACTCTTTCAAACGGGTATGGTACTCATAATCCGAGCTCGAAGGTATACAAGGCATGCTCAACTGGACGGAATTCAAACCACAGCTTGACTCCCGGACTGAGTGTGTTACTGGCATCACTACCGCACCACTCCTCCCTCAGTTCCTCATGTCTTGGCTGAGAGTCCATATCTCAAAAAATGAAAAAATAACACTTTCAGCCACACGGCTGACTTACAAGAGGGAAAAAATTGGGGAAAACTTAGG